GTATTTCGATTTCGAAAACTTGTGTGATTTTTTCGAAAGTTTCGAATTTTATCAAATGACTTTCGCCATCATGTATGATTGGATCTTCCCAGTAAAGAAACTAGTTCACCATGTGAATTAACAATTGATGATAATTTTTCATTTTGGGATGCTTCTTCTAATGTTATGCTATTAAAAGATCAGATGACATAATTATTTCTCAAAGTGAGTAATATTTGTTATTGGGCCTATGAAATTACAAAATTGAGGCAGCTAATCAATCAAATCATCATTATTATTTAGTTGGTGATTTTGTGGCTGTTGTACATTATTAAATGCCTAATAGTAGAGAAATAGTTTTAATCAATTGAACGATTTTATTTTATATCTATATTAATTAATATATAATTTGCCATGAAGAACATTTTTAGCTTAGAAACCACTTTACTTGTGATATTTTCTTCACAAATTTATTGTAAACGATAAGAAAAATATTTTTTAATGCTATAATTTCAATCGAATTTTTCTAAAATGAACCGGAAAAACTAATTCTTTATCTTTAATATTAATATATTTCGGGCCCTGGTACGATTATAAAAGGATACATTTCATTAATTTGAATTCTATAACGAAATGGCACACACTAAAAAAATTATTGCGTTTTGAATAAATTTTTTTGTAACAACATAACAACAATTACTTGATATCATAACAGTTACACGCTCACCACTAGACTTGCCTGCACTGTAGAACCTGAGATAAGGCTGGTCACTTTTACCACCACTGGGAAGTGTCAGAAAATATTACATATGTATGTTTATTATTATCTATTGCTAATTACTATGCCACAGCAATAATACTAAAACAAAATGTTAACCAACGCGAAATAAAACATTAAACTAAAGTCTGATTTGATGTAAATAAACACCTTTCCCAGATTTATATATAAATTAGAAATATATCTCTCTACGCTATATCCTAAAAAAAAAATTAAACGTTTTGAAAATCTATTGTAATTGATAAACACCAAAATAAATTTTGAAAAAGTCCTACTCATCTAATTCTATCCTAAAAAAAACCTTCCACATTAGTCAAGAATGCCCAATCGCGATCATTCCTAACAAAACCACAGAGACAACAAAACAATTTGAGTTTTTACAAGAAATACGAGTTGGTAAATTATCAAATGACTTGTCTTGGCTAAAATGCAGGGATGATCTCTAGCACGCACATTGTCGGAACACGTGAAGCTGCAAACGAGGTCAACAAGTTATTTAAACTTCGAAATATTAGACAAAGATCATATCACACCACCCACCAATTTAAACACTTTAACTAACTTGCCTAAAGAAGGTGCACGTGTGATGTCCTTGAACAATAAAATGTTTAATGAAAATAGATCTAATGAAACAGCGGGTGTGATAACAAGGCTGATGGATGTTGAGGCTACACTCAACAGCATAGTCAAGGTAATAGTGCAAAAGGAAACAACCCATTTTGAAATTGATGGAAGAAGAACTCCAGAAAACAATTCCTGCTCCAAAATGCCTTCTCATTGTAACCTTACCCTCACATAACCATCTCTATTGATAAGAACATATGGCCAAGTATATGTAGCATTGAGAAGAGCAAGCTCCTTGAATAACTTGAACATCCTGAAATTCGATTTTTTTCAAATAAACCATTCAAAAAGTGCTTTGAATGAGTATAAGAGATTGGAAAAAATTAATTGTGATGGGTTGAAAACTTTAATGTAAAATGTTTATTACTATAGTAAATGTGATTCAACATAATTTTTTAATAAATATAGGCTTGGGCTTATTGCAATATCTTATTATTTGTAATAAATATATTTATTATCTATATCATTTTCATCACAGCAAAGAAGTTACATTGAGATTGATTCGGATTTAGGAACTGAAATGCTTAATGAGGATGAAGTTATTGCTGCAGTCCAAGAAAATATAGGGCCACCGATATTTAATAAGATTGTTTTAGAAACATTCAAAATCTATATAATTACTTGCAAATCTTGTCACAGTGGATGAACAGATACATAAGAAAATTTAATTTTAAAATCTATTGTGGAAAGATTACCAATCTAATCTCGCCAAACGGATTCAGAATAATATAAATATATTAGATGAAACTTGTATTTTTGTATTTTACAATATGTTTATTTATTTTTTATTTTTGCAATAGTTTCGTATCATCAATTTTAGTCAGATCAGGAGGGTCCCAAAGCCTGGTTTCTTCAAAATATTTTAAATCTTTTCTTGATTTTGTATGAACCGCCTATTATTATTATACATGTTATTATAATTATTATAATATTAATAAACATTTATTTCATTTTTTGCATTTACCTCAATTGCCCAATTTTCATTTTTTTTAATAATTGTCACAATTTTTTCCATAATAAATTTATTAAAAGATCTAAAAGTTTTACTTAGTTCTGTTTGGACTCCTCCTCTTAACGATTCTACATTCCTATAATATTCTTCTGAGCAATATAATAATTTTATAAATTTTACCTATAAAACAAAAAAAATCAAAAAATAATTTGAGAATTCAATTTTTTGTATGGTTCCAACAACCTGTCTCAAAAGATAAAACTTACCCTAAAGAATAAGAAATAAGATTGCTCATATGAACAAATACGATTAAATAACTTTAAAATTTGAATTATAATTGTTGATTTGGTTTCATCCTTATAAATTTCTTCTAATAAATCAATATAATGAGTAATTACTGAATCAGTCGAGAAGTTCTAAATATAAAATAATTTAGAAGTTAGAAAATTAATAATAATCATTATTATCACTATATAATTATCACTATATAATAGATTATTTATTCACTTCTTCAAACTCTCTAAAATCAAATCTTTCTTGAACATATTGGGATTGGTCTTTAACATAACTGTTATTCTCATCCTCATTCTCATCCTCATTATCCTTATCACCATTACCATCACCATATGCTTCTTCATCCTTATTACCTAAAAATTTTATAATATAAGATATGCGTATAAATAGATATGTATTTAAATGCATACATCAGCCACCCATAAAATACATGCTTTTTTGTTTTCTTTTTCTAACTTGTTTCTTTTTTCTAAGAAGCATTACTTTGGATTTTTTGGAATATGATTCCAACATATCCATTAGAACGTCAACTAATCCAACCACACTTTCATAATATCTACACATCAAGAGAAATATAGTGAGAGCAAGATTGTAAATTAATAACAATAATGTTCATATTATCAACAACAAAAACAACTAATACATATTAATAATAATGATAGTTACCCAAATGATTGATCTTTATAATCCTTTGCCAATTCAAATACAAAATCTAGATTCAGTTTTTCATAATAAAGATCATCTTGAATATCGTATGCTATATCTCTATCATTTTCATCTGATGAAGCAGAAAGCATATTCAACGAAAACAACTATTGACAACCAATCAACAAATCAATCAACCATTTAGTATTGGATATTCATCTATGAAATTTTTTTTTAAATATGTTGTATAGTATTACCATTTGTTTGAAACATTCTATTCCGAAATGAAGTTCAAGCCACATCTAAATAAAAAAATTATTACAACTTTATCATAAATCCCAAAAAATCATCTTTCTTGCCTCAAATGCAAACCTTCTTTTCTTTAAGCATTCTCATAATTCTTATCACCAATGAAAAAGCTCTAGTAGTTAAAAGTTCTACAATTTCATTAAAATCATACTCCTTTTTGTTTTTAAATGATTGTATTATAAAATGCAGATTGAGGAAAAATTTGACAATGTAGAAGAAATGAACAATTGGTTCTGGTCGATCAATTCTACCATGTTCTAAACCTTTCAAAATTGTTACCATCAAATCTATATATATATTCGTTGTTAAATTGGTAATGGCAAATAAATTCAATGTTATAAATAACATTACTTCAATGATAATACTTCAACAATAATGCTTCAATAATAAATAGATTATAAATACCATTAAATCCATTTTTCAATATATTAATTGCCACTTCAAGTAAACAACTAACATCTTTTTTATATGTAAGATTTGATAATTTTCTATTATCAAACCCATCCTTTAAAAAAAAAAAGGAAAACACACGTCAAGATTTTTCAAAACATTTATAAATATAACTTTCATTATATTTAAATTTACCTGAGGTTTTTGTTTAGAAACTTTTTTACTTTTATTGGAATTCAATGCTTTAAATAATTTTCCACAAAATGCTTCTCGCTTATGAAGAATACGTTCTTCTCCATTCTACAAATACAATCGACCACACGCATATATAAAAAATTAGATTAGGTTTATACAACTATAATTATTTATATAATATATATAATACTTACAGGCATTTCTATCCACACAGCTCCGGAAAATTGTGAATGATTTTTGAGACTTTCAGCTTTCTTTCTATTCTCTTGCTCAAGTAACTCTTTGCATCTTTTGGCTCTTTTCTAATTATCATTAATAATAATTATAGTAAATTATAATATTGCCATATATCCAAATATATATATACAAACTTATATATTTACCAATTTAGGATTATTAAACAAATCTTTTGCATCGGAACTTAAAAAAATATGATAAAATATTTCAAGAACAATTGTATTTAAATGAATTTCATCCTTCTCTGACATCAGAATAACAAGAAGTTGAAGTATTTGAACCTCTTCACTCTTCAATATCATTATTAAATCATACTATTTAAATATTTTTTTGTTGGATGAAGAATGGGTGGCGGAAACAAGATATGTATTTTATTGTTACATGAATATAATATAATAAGAGATAAATAAATATCATTTATATATACCTGTAGTTGAGTTTTCTTGGTCTCATTTGGAATTGAAGTGGACTGTAGATCTTTAATTGCAACTAAGTTTCGAATAAAACTCATAATAAGTCTTACAATATTAATGTTATTTGCTTTCTTTTCTTTGCTACCGTCCATCCATACATAACACAAAATAATTATTAATAAATATATTATCATCTATAACACATACTAAACATACACAACATATTCATATAATATACATAGAAATTCTCAACTTACTCATCATTTTGACTTAAAAATGTTACCAAGATAACAGCAAGGGATTCAATTACTTTGGGATTTTCTATAAATGCCAATTTATAATCAACTTGAAAATTTCTAATTTTTGTCATCTTTGCGAATGTATCCCTGTATTCGACCGTTTCTTCAAAAACGTCACTTTTTAATCCAATCGGATCAACCGGTTCAGTTAACAAGAAAAAAAGTTCAACTTTTTTTGGCAACCCCCCCCCCCCCCGAAGAATTTGATTAATGTATGTATATATTATGAATGTAAAATTTCTGAAAATTTCAATATTTACTGCAAATTTGTGTCCTGAGTAACTTTTTTTGATTATTAACGTCATCACAATTTAAAAGAAATATCGGAATTAAATCTTTCCGAAGAGTGTTTAAATGTCCAAGTTCTAAAAGAATATCATTTTTGAGATCACCTGAATTTCTTATATATTGCTTAAGATCTTTAAGGCAATCTGCATCATTCATTACAATTAACGCATAAAATAATTAGCAAAAAAAAAATTTTTTTATGCATTTCTTTATAAAATGTAAACCAACTCTTTACTACCTAAATATTGAATTCCTGGTTTATAAATCTTTTTATCGCCAACTTGTTCGAAACCTCCAAGTGCTAAGGTCGAGTTATCAAGTTCTTTTATTGTCTCCTCTAAAATTTCGGTAGAATAATCTTCATAATCTTCATCCATTTTTTTTTTTCTTTGTACGTGTAATAAAAAAAATGATAATATTATAAACACCAAAAACGCGTTGAATATATTTGGCAAAATGTCGTAAAGTCATGTGATAAAAGTATTACGGCTCTTCACGTGATCTTTAATTGCATTTATATTTACGCAGCAATTTTTTATTCAAAAATTCTTAATATTAATGTAAATTAAATTTTTTTTTTAATTTTTTAAAATTAACAAAGTCTTTAAACAACATTGCACGATAAAATTTAGATCAAACAAGAGATCTTAAGTTGTTGTTACATCTAAAAATTTTCATTATCTAGGCTTTAGAGCAATTGTTAAAAAATTTCACATCAAGATTTTTTTTTGAATTTCTTTTATTTTTAATTGTTTTAAGTTCTAGAAAACTTGGGAATATAAATTTTATAAACATAATCTTCAGTGACTAAGCTGCACACTTATTATGTATATGTTTGTGTAATTAATACTTTTGTGGCTTTTGCCAAGGCACTGTATATATTTTTGGTGTATTTAATTTAATGTTTATTATTAACTACAAGATGAAGAAAAATTAGGTGTCTTTAAGCTGAATAGTAACTGATTTGCCTAAAATAATTTTTTAAAATTTATTTTGCCTGAATAGGAAATATAAAAAAATCACTTATCATGAATGTGCCTCAAATAACATTACTATATTGACTTCAGTTTAATCTCTTTGCTGAAATTAAGAAAGATAAATGAGAAATTGCATTATGTAAATCACTTTTGAATAGGGATAAGGATGATGGTTCAGTTCAGTTTGACTAGTTGGGCCACATTGACTGGCAGTTTATTGATTTTATTACAATTTATAAAATAGCAATAGGTACATAAGGTTGGTAGGGATTTCACAAATTTCAAACATATTAAAATCCTATTATTTTATGTGGCATTATGACTAAGATTGCTTGCTGAAACCTTTTAACAACTGTCAAAACTCTGCCTAGTGCCAAAACCCTCAAATGCAAAACCTCTTTGCTGATCAGAACCTGTAAAATTCAATTGCTCTTCATCTGAACTACCAAGTGCTGCCACAGAAAAAATAAAACATTTAGTAAACCTCTACCAAATGGATATCATGCTCATAAGATGCCTGAAATGGTAGAAGATTGGATTAATGAATTAAAAAATGTTCTACAGAATCCTGATGAAATTTTTATAGAGGAGTTGCTGACAGCCTATGACCTTTTAAATGAGCAAGAATTTCTAAAAATTTAGCTGATAAGGTACAAATGGGTATTGAAAAAGCCTTTGAAGCATTCAAAAAGTGGATGATTACTTGGACTCACCTTCCACTTTGTGTATGTAGTCTTGGAGGAGAGAGTGGCCCCAAGTTTGCTCAAGCTGTTAGCCATATAGTATTATCTTGTCCTCTTCCTGATGAACCTACGATAAGGTTAAAAAATTATGTAGAAAGGTTAGAAAAAAATTTAGAAGAAGGAAGAAGAAATTCATTTGGATTATTTGAAGCATTAGAACAAAATGAGTTTAATTCGTGATTCTTTTAAGGAGTGAATTTTAATTAGTGATCGGCGGGGCGCATTTGGATATCAATAAACAGACTGTTATGAATATTTTTATCAAAAAAAATTTTTTTTGTTCAAGCCATTTTTGCACTATTTCAATCTTGATTGGGGATTATGGGTATAAAATCAACATAATACAAATAATGGTTCATCCAATTCTTTCTCAGCTGATTCTTTTTTACATTCTCTACTCATGTTACTCATTTGCATCCAACTCACCTGCTTCTACTCTTTGTTTTAGATCTGTAGGCATTTCTTATCTACATTTCCTGACAAAAAATAGGCTCTTAGAAGTTGTTTTACTTCCAAAAATTTTGTTTTCACAAAGAGCCCAACCTAGTTCAAAGTAATTCATTTTAAAATTAAAAATTTTTAATTTAACATCTAGAAAATATTTATTATATTAATTTTTTTC